AGTTGGTAATTTTTTGATGACCTGTTCAATTTCTTCTTTTGTGATGGGCCTGTTCAATTTTTCCCCATCAGTCTGTGTTAGTTTAGGTAAGTGGTGTGTTTCTAGAAATGCATGTTATTTTTTGTATTAATTCTGCCTCTTTTCCTTATTAGCCCGTTGAAATTCAAGTCACATGTTATTCTGCTACACCATGTTATTTCAATCAAAGTTTGAGATTATAAACTAACGTTTCCAGTTTTCAATAACAAGGAAACAAAAAACAGCTGGCCATGAGTCTCAACAACCTATGAAGGGAAGCCCTATCATCCTAGGTGATGGCTGCTCTCCAATGAGGTCATCTAGACCCATGAAAACACCAGCCCTGAAATCTAAGCACAGTGCCACATACCTGGTGGTCACGCACATGATGAGAACCATGACACAGAAAATTGCAAAGATCGTTATTGGAACAAAGACTCCAAACATTTGAGCATTAAGAGAGAATCACAGACCTCCGAGACTATACGCACAGACACCCCTATAGCCTTGGTGGTGGTGGTGCAGGGTGTCCCAACTCAAGGACCTGGCACATGGAATTTCTGAATTCGGTCCTGACTGTAATAGCTGAGGGGATATTGACCAAAATATGGCATTTCGACCACTTGAACGAGGGGATGACACTTTGGGTTGTATTGGAAAATGCTGCCTCCTTATTGCCAGTTTTACCAGTGACCGCTGGAAACTGCACTTGAACAAGCGGCAGTGGTACTTGAGATAGTTGTAGTGGGATCTACTCTTTACTGGGCCAGGCAATCTACTTCTGTAGTGATACCGTCTCGGAAACCCAAGGAGGGGTCACTATGAGTTTACTCTTTACTATCTTTCTGCATCAACCATGTCAGCTTCTTTCTCCCTTTCTCCTCCTCCCCTCTCTGTGCAGAAGAGTGCATGCACTGTAGTGGAGAAAACTACCAGGGCAAAGTTGCCAAGACCACATCCGGACTGGACTGCCAGGCCTGGGACTCTCAGAGCCCACACGCCCATGGCTATATTCCTTCCAAGTAAGTCTCTTGGGGATGGAGGGTTGGGTGAGTGAGGTGGTGAAGACGCGCTAGCTCTAGCAGACACTGTTGTTATGGACATATCTGCCATGGCTCAGAAGGGGACACGCCCGAGACTTTGGAACCTCAGAGCTTGCATCCTCCCACCCGAACGCAAGGGGAATATACACTCCTGCTGCTCAACATGTGGTCCAGATTCCACGCCCCAGCAGCATCCGTAGCCCTGAGAGCCCATTAGAGATGTAGGCTCTCAGACCCCTGGAGTGTGGCTCTGCAGTTTACCAAGCTCCCTAGCAACTGGAACACACATTAAAATTTGAGAAATAGACACATCACTTGGATATTTTCCAACTATTTCAGTCTCCTTGTTCTTACCTTTTCTTTATGCCAGTGAGGTTCATGTCTTCTTAACCTATGATTTATAGGTGACCTTCTGGGGGCTGTGAGTCCCCTGACATTTGATGTGTATTTTTATCAGTGCATTTTTCTGCGCTGAGGAAAAAGGAATTCCCTTAAAAAGGAATAAGAGTTCCTGCCCGAGAAGGTAATGTTGACTTTCTGAGCACTTCAGTACATTCATTGTTCTGGAAAATGCCTCCCACCCTGCTTCTAAGAACTAGAGGAATGATTCTAAGCCAGGGCTTTCACTGTGGAAAGCAGGTCTTCTGAAGCCTTGCAATTCTCACCCAAAATAGCTAGCTCAACACACAGTGGTTGTACTTTTCCTTCCAAAGAGAAATACAGTGAAGGCCTCAAAGCCCCAGACTGGATAATCCCCTTCCAGAACATAGGAGAAGAGGACTGCTGTGACCACTGTGGCTGCTCTGTCCACGCTGAGTGAGAACGGGAGGCTCAGAGAGGGGTGTGAGAGCACCACACAGGCCACAGGATGGTGTGTCTAACGGCCTGAGCCACAGGGTCACTGTGGAGGAGGGCTGAAGGGGGCTCACCCCACACTCTAGGGACAGGCACTTATGAAGCACAGTGCACTCCTTTCACTTCCTATTGGCTCAGATGCTACTGGAAGGGAACCTGGTAGACCAGAAGGACTCTGTCTAGGCTGTGACGAGGGATCTCCTCAGCTGGACTGTGTACTGGATGACTGTGTTTTAGAAACCGCTACTTTGCAGCTGAATGACTAGAGTCTGCTTCCATCAGTTTTCAGAGTGGGCCACGCGATGAAGTTCATGCACCTGCTCAGGGAGTTTTCATGTGTGAACTGTTAGAAAAGTCCTTGGCATACTGAGCTCACCTTCTTTCACGAGATGGCTGCCTCTTAAGGGCAGCCCAGGGCCCCTTTACCCAGTTCCCAGCTCCGCTAGCTGGACCTGGCACACAGGAGGCGCTCAACGTGGCTGCAGTTGAGAAGATTCTCATCAACGAATGTCAATGTCAAGTGCTGTTAAATCCCTCTCGCCCATTCAGATTTCCCAGCAAGAACTTGAAGATGAATTATTGCCGTAATCCTGATGGGGAGCCCCGCCCATGGTGCTTCACCACGGACCCCAACAAACGCTGGGAGTTCTGCAACATCCCCCGCTGCAGTGAGTATGGCTCATCCTGAGAGTCAGGGGTCTGGACCCCGTCTACTCTTGGAATCGAGGAAACAATATTAAGAGCCCGAATACTGTGCCTCAAAGGAGCCTGGTGGTACAATGGTTGAGTGCTTGGGCTACTAACCAAAAGGTCATGGTTAGGACCCACCAGCTGTTCCACTACCGTAAAGACCTGGCAATCTGCTCTCATAGAGACCACAGCCTGGAAACCTCATGGGGTAGTTCTATTCTGTCCTGCAGGGTTGCTTTGGCTTGGAGTCAACCTGATGGCACACAACAGTAACATTGCCTAAAAGTCCTATAGGTTGTTATCACTCTTTCGTGAACATGGTTAACAAATGTGGGTGCTAACTGAAAGGTAAGGTGTTTGCATCCACCCAGAGATGCCTCAGAAGAGAGGCCTGGAGACCTCCTTCTGAAAAACCAGCCTGAGAGCCCTGTGGAACAGGATTCCCCTCGGACCCCTATGACGCTGCCAAGTCAGAGCTGACTTGATGACAGGTGCCTTACGTGGTAACTGCAGACGACTGACAAGAATATCCATTGATCATGTTCTTATCATGCTTTTTTCAGCCTATCAGGAGTGCAGCTAAATGTCAGCTCCTGGACGGGCTCCCTGGCTTGCCACTTTTCTCTAGAGCTCAGGGAAATAAATCCATGCTTTCTGGTCCATGGACCTTGTTATCAACTGGAGTTCTTTCCAGCTGTTGCTTTGCCAACAAAGAGGTGTTTCTGGAGGCCCCGTTCTTCAGTATCTCCTACTTGTGGGGCAGCAGATGGGAAAGGAGTCTGGGGAGAAGGAATGGCAGACCTAGTAGCAACAATTTTCTAACATTTTCCTTCTATGAGAATTTGAAGCAAAGGCCTACACGTTTAGACAAAGACAGTTATCCGAGGTGAGGAGGACTGGGCTGGTCCTGGGGCTGGCTTCCCTGCTGCTCCGGTGACCAGGTATCTGGGGAGCTGCGGGTCCTCATGGATTCCCCCTTGATGAAAACCAGCATCTCTTCTTGCCATGTTCTCTCTCTTTTTTCCTCTCTCAAGAATTTCCTGATTTCTGGATGCACACAGCTTTCCTTGGAGACACTGTCTGGCTTCTTTCCACAAACGCTCTGTTGTTTGGCTTTCTAAAATAACGGGTTATGATTACTTGGTGAATAATTTATTCTTCACAAAGGACTTGGATCAACCACTGGTGTATGCAAGAGTTCGGGGACGGGGCTGACACAGGGTGATATATACCATGTATGAGGAGCGGAGCAGAGAATCAGAAGGGGGTTTCTGCTCCCAGGGCCTGGCCACTGGAGGACTTCCTCATGAGAGTCCTTGCAGACATAGATTATCCTTGGGCAACTTCCTCTGGGACTGAGCAACAACTTCCAAGGGTCAAATTCCAAGAGAGGACAGGCTGACTCTCCACCCCTCTCCCTATAAACTCTGCCTGAGCATTCTTTATTTCAGAAAAATAAAATTCATTTTAGTTTATTTTCCCTATTCAAGCAACACCCCCACCATCATCTGGTCCAACACATCAGTGTCTGAAGGGAAAAGGTGAAAGCTACCGAGGGAACGTGGCTGTTACTGTATCCGGGCACACCTGCCAGCACTGGAGTGCACAGACCCCTCACAAGCACAACAGGAGCCCGGAGAACTTTCCCTGCAAGTATGTCCCCCTGCAGGCCTCTTTCCCTGTCTCGTTCTTTGGCCTTGGTTTTAGTTATTAAAGTATTCTGGAAGGAAAACCGATGTTGTTGTTGTTGTTACGTGCCGTCGAGTCAAACCCAACTCGTAGCAACCCCTCCTTGGGTTTCCGAGGCAGTATCACTTCGGAAGTAGGATTACCCAACCTTCCTTCTGAGGAGTGGCTGATGGGTTTGAACCGCCAGCTGTCTGGTTAGCAGGCAAGTGTCTTAGCCACTATGCTACCAGAGCTCCCATAGTCATATGCAAAGGAAGTGAGATTCAGCACTGATTCTTCTTTAAAAAAAAAAAAAAGTGTGATGGACCAGTAGCATCGGTGTCACTAGGAATTTGCTAGAAAGGTAGGTTCTTGGCCCTATTCCAGACCTATGAACCAGATCCCAGAGATCTGTTTTGATGAGCCCTGCAGTAAACATACACTAAAACTGAGAACCACCGTTCTACAACACTTAAAATCCATAGCTGGGATCTGTGCATCTAGAAGGCAGGAACAGTGTATAACATCCCCACTGGATATTCACAGTGCCCAACTCATAGCAAAAGACCTATTTTGCTTGACTACACAAAGTCAGGGACTATATTTCAAACCTCTGCACAGGAGAAGCATCTGTGTCCCAACTCTATGGGCTCCTGCCCTGCTAAGCTTCCCTGTGGCCTGTTGCTCAAGCTGTGTAAGCCTAGACATGACCTGAATACACGTTCAACATCACCATCTGCAAGCATGCCTGTGCCTTGAGTCACAATCATTTCTTTTTCAGAAATCTGGATGAAAACTACTGTCGTAACCCTGATGGAGAAAATGCCCCTTGGTGTTACACAACGAACAGTGAAGTGAGGTGGGAATACTGCAAGATTCCGTCCTGCGAGGCATCCGCATCGTCCACGGAGGCCACAAGTAAGAAAGGGGGATGCGAGTGAACAGGGCCCACTCCAGTGACATCAGCACAGCACACAAGAGCTATGTTATAGTGCAAGTCTGTCATGGTCAGAGAACACGCTCTGAAGGACCTCAACTATGTGAAATTTGTTGAGGTTTGTTTTGTGGTTCAGAATATGGCCTACCTTGGAATGTTGCCTGGGCTCTTGCAAAGAATGTAGGTAATGCTGATATTGAATGGTGAGTTCTAGAAAGGTCAGTTAGGCCAAGCAACCGTTAGCATTCCTTAGCTCTCGGTCTCCTGATGGATCTTCTGTCTCTGTTCTGTCGACGAGTGATGAGTGTGCCGTCTCTAACCATGTCTCTTTGTAGTTCTAACTTTTTGTGTTTTATGCATTTTGAAGCTCTGTTACATACATACACATTTCAGACCGGCATGTCTTCTTGAGGAAATCACCCCTTCATCATTCTGTAATGTCTCTCATTGTTTCTGGGACTATTCCTTGTTCTGAAGTCTACTTTAGCTGACACGAATAGAGCCTCTTTTCATTAGTGTCCGTATGGGTCTGTTTTTCCCAGACTTTTAGTTGAGGTATTTAGACCATCTGCATTTAATGTAACTATAACAACGATGACATTAATACAGTTGGATTTAAATCTACCATCCAGTTAGTTTCTATTTGTCCTCTTTGAACTTGGCCCCTTTTTTGATCTTTTTTGGTCTTTGCTTAAACTGAGTATTTTTATGATTGTATTTAATCTTGACTATTTGCTTATTTGGATCCCTGGTGGGGTAGTGGTTAAAGCATTTGGCTGCTAATAAAAAGGCTGGTGGTTCGAACCCACCAGCTACTCCATAGGAAAAAGATGAGGCAGTCTGATTCCATAAAGATTTACAGCCTTGGAAACCCTGTGGAGCAGTTCTGCTCTGTCCTATGGGATGCTGTGAGTCAGAATCCACTCAATGGCAGTGGGTTGGGTTTTGGTTATTTGCTTATTAATTAAACTTATTTTAAATATTTTCAGTAGTTTCTCTAAAGTTTACAAAATACATCTTTAACTTACACAGTCTCCCTTCAAATAATTCTGTTCTATTTCATGTATAATGTCAGCAACGTACCACACTATCCTTCAGTTTCCTCCCTCCCAAACGTTGTGCTACTGTTTTCAAAGAATTTCCTTCCATAATGTTATAAATGTCACAATAAATTAATACTTTGTTTTGGCCCTGTACAGCCCTCTTGTAAAGTAGTTATAAATATAAATATCTTCATTGTTTTGACCACTGCTGGTGCTCTTCATTTTCCTTGTGTAGATCCAAATTTCCATTTGGTGTCACAAAACAAAAAACCAAACACACTGCTATCCAGTCAGATCCGACTCACAGTGACCCTTCCTTGGGTTTCCAAGGCAGTGTCACCATGGAAGAAGATTGCCCAACCTTCCTTCCGAGAAATGGCTGGTGGGCTTGAACCACCAGCCTTCTGGTTAGCAGTCAAGTGCCTTAGGCACTAGGCCACCAGAACTCCTTCTGGTGTCACAGTTCTTCTGTAAAGAAGTCTTTGAACGTTTATTACAACACAGGTCGGATGATGCGAATGTCTTTCAACTTTCCTATGTCTGAAAACACTTTGTCCCTTTCAGTTTAAGAAAATAATTTTGTTGGGCATGTGTTGACAATTTCTTTCTTTCACCACTTGAAAGATGTTACTTCATTATCTTCTATTTTGACTAGTTTGTGACTGGAAAACTTACCTCTGTTGCTTTGAACTGAATGTTTTTTTCTCTTTCTGCCTTTAAGACTTTCATTTTAGGTTTTCAGCAGTTTGACTGCCGCGTCTAGGTGTGCTTGTTTAGTGTTATTCGTATTACTCTTGCTTAGGCTTCTTTGAGCTTTTTGGATTTACAGATTGTTGGTTTTCATTAAAGAAGCCCTAGTGGCACAGTGGTTAAAGCACTTGGCTGCTAACCAAAAGGTTAGCGGTTTGAACCCCCAGCTCCTCCACAGGAGAAAGATGTGGCAGTCTACTTCCATAAAGATTACAGCCTTGGAAACCCTAGGAGGGGTTCTAAAGGGTCGCTATGCGTCAGAATCAAGTCGATGGCCATAGATTTTACAGGATTTTCATTAATTCTGTAAAGTTCCCAGCCCTTCAAATATTTCTTTTTCCCTTCTCTGTTTTGGACTCCAATTATCCAAATGGCAGATGACCAATGTCCCACATCTCTTAGCCTGTTCTGCAACCCTACTCTTTCTTGCCTTTGTGTTCCAGTGCGGATAATTTCTAGTAATGTTTTTCTCCAGTTCACTGATTCTTTCCTCAGCTGTGTTGTCTGCTTATCCACTCCCTGAAGGAATTCATTATCTCTGGAATTATAGTTTTTATTTCCAGGGTTTTAATTTCCTTTCTCGTTTCAGTAACTTCTTCCTCTCCTAACCACACAGTTCCCTGTAGAAGGGAGCAACCACGGCCATTCAGAAATTCACCCATTATCTGTGTCCTTGCAGAGGACAGCTCAGATAGGTTTTGTCCATGGAGGCAGAAGGGAAAAGGAAGACTGTTTGCTGAACCCAGACTGCACCATGAAGATGGCAACGCTGCTACTGTATCTTCCCTGTTGTTCCTGTTCAATAACTGGACTGGTAGAAACCTGTCTCTCCTTCCTCTCCAGATTAAGCACCAGACTAGAATTCTGCCCACTCCCCATCTACAGGGGGTCTCACAGCCTTTTCATATTGAAGGACAGAGTCCTGTGGGGAGGCATTTCCTGTTTGCGTGTCTCCTAGAATCCAGTGGGTCCACAATAGCCTGCTACCACCAGTCGTCATGGAGTCAACCCTGACTTATGGTGACCCCATGTGTGTCCAAGCAGAACTGTGTCCCCACAGGATTGTTTTCTTCATTTAAATTATGATTTAGGTGGAAGTTTACAGAGCAAATTGGTTTTCCATCCAACAATCCCCACACATTCTGTTTTGTGACATATACTGCAATCCCCACACTGTAACACATTCTTCCCACTTCCTCCCTGCACCCCTTTCCTTCCCATCCTCTCCCCTCCCACCTTCCTAGCTCTATCACTGGGCAAATGCTGTCCACTTGATCTCATATGCTTGATTGTTCTCATGAATGCATGCCCTCCTGACATTACTGTTTACCTTATAGGTCTGTCTATCATTTAGCTTCCAGATGAGTCACAGGGGTTAAGTCTTAGTTCCTTGCTTGAAGGGTGTCAAAGGGCCATAGTCTTGGGGGTTCCACTAGTCTTCATCAGACCAGTAAGCCTAGTCTTTTATGATTTTGAGTTTTGTTCCACATTTTCCCCAACTCTGTTGGGGACATCTTAGTGTGATCCCCTTCAGAGCGATCAGCACTGGTAGCCAGGCACCATCTAGTTCTTCTGGCCTCAGGGTCATGGAGGCTGGGGCTCACATGCTCCGTTTTGGACTTGTTGTTTCTTGTGCCTTTTATTTTTCTCCACTCTTCTTTGCTCTGAATAGGGAGACCAATAGCTGTGCCTTCAATGGCTGCTCAAGAGCTTTTAAGACCCCAGTCACTACTCAGCAAAGTAGACGTAGAACACTGACCTTGGTGTCTCTGAGATTATGGTCCTGAGCTTCCATACCCAGTGGCCGCATACCCAGTGAGCCTCAAGTGTTTGGTTATGACTAAGACCTGTCCATAGCTTTGTCCCCTGTATGCTCTACTACATTCGTAGATATATTTGCAGCGTGTACAAAAATACACAGGTAGAGGTGGCCTCTGTTCCACCTACATATATATATTCATGAGTGCAGTCCCATTAGCCCTCCCACCCATTCAGATTAAGTGTCTATCTAAGCATCCATTTGACATTATTCCTAGTATTGCAGGATTGTGTTTCCAATAGGATTCACCTTTGCTGCCATTCACTCTTTTTGATCATTTCCATCTCGTTGAAATTCCCCGTCTATGTACGTATATTGTACACCTTGACCACAAGATCCTTTAACATGTTAATCCCTGTTATTTCACAGTCCTGATCTGACAGTTTTCATGTCTAGTTCTCCCTGTTCTGGCTTGTGATTGCATTATGACTTGATGATGTGTTTTTTGTCTGGCTTTTCTGGTGTGTTTTGTAAAAATTTTTAAAATCAAATGCTGAACATTTTGTGCAGAAGAACTGTACACTTGGGAATGGGCTCCCCGCTTCTCCCATCAGTATGTTGGCCCATATAGTTGGCAGGTGAACTGACTTTGGATTTTGCTGGTGCTGTTCTTACATGCACCACAGACATCACTCTTCCTGCAATGGGCTGCTGTGATCTTGTGCCCAGAGTGGGGCCTGGGGTGCTGAAGAGTTTCTTCAGTACTCCTAATTTACCCCTCACTGAAAGCACCCACCACATGCCTGCAACACAGAGGCCCCCCATGTTTTCCATTTGACCCCAATTATAGACTGCCACTCCTCAGTGCTAAGCTTTGGTGGTGGTATTAGAGTTCTTTATCTTTCTAGTCCAGCCTCAGTCTTCAGATCTGTGAGCCTGGGCTTTGAAGGCAGAGTTTTCTTGGTGTTCTCACCCCTCCTTCCCATGGTGCCAAACTCTAACTGCATCTGTGGTGGGTCTTGAGTGGCAGGGTAGCCGAACCCAGTATCGTGCAGTGCAGGATCCTGGGCACAAAAGGGTTTCTTATCCCTCCTCCAGAGGAATATGACTGTTGCCTCTACTCTCAACCCCCACCCCCACCCCGCCACACACAATAGAAGCCATGGAGCTTTGCCTGCTGTCCTGGGTGCAGATGCATCTCCTGTCCCATTCCACAGCAGCTTTTGCTTTGTACGAGCAAAAGATCTGGGAACACATGTAAGGGTTTCCTGTCTGTCCCCCACCGGCAGCCAGTCATCACCTGCAGTCTGCACTTTGGGCATGGTTCCCCCCCAACTGTTTTCATGGACACCCAGATGGACACAAGAGCTTGCCAAGGAGTGCAATTTCCAAGAACAAGCACTCTGTTGGGTTTTCCTTAGTTTTGAGTTAAATATTTCCAAGGAAAATTAGGTCAGTAAAATTCTAGGATGCTGTGGATCTACTCTTTTATTTGCATGTCCACCTGACTACAAATACAGAAAAGAGCGTGAATCCTGGATGAATCCCAGGGAGCACTGTTCTGTTCTTGTCATAAATCACATTTTTCTGTTCTGGTCATCATTCAGGCTGACTTCTTCTATCTCCATTTCAGTGCCACCCGAGCAAACCCCTGTGGTTCAGGAGTGCTACCGGGGCAACGGACAGAGTTATCGAGGTACCTCATCCACCACCATCACAGGGAAGAAGTGTCAGTCTTGGTTATCTATGACACCACACCGGCACCAGAAGACCCCAAGAAACTTCCCAAATGCGTATGTCTTTGATTTTTAACCTTAAGAGAAGCAACAGGCAACTTACATTTCTGTTAGAAGAGCTGTGCTGTCACTTATTAGCAGCAAATTTCCATTGGCTCCAGCATGTGACACAAAATGTCTTAGGTGACTTGCTTTTGAGCAAAGTGTCTGAGAGATGAGAACTTAGAGGCTAGTTAAGCTCCGAAGTAGTTTTGCAGAGGAAGGGCAGGCAGGATAGGTGGGTGTGATGAGGGGATGCTAGTGGAAAACTAAGAAGAAAAAACTACTAAAAGCTTAGAAACAGTACCATCCCACAACACCCGTAACACATCAGTGCAGTCTTTCAGCTATGGAGTTTTATCATTCCAACCTCCAACCACTGAAGTGAAGTCAGTGTTTGCCATTTACGTTCATGGGTCATTAGCATGTGTGTGTCATCCGAGCTGCACAGATACACTAGGTCCTGAGCTGTGGTCATCTGAAGGAATAGTGTTACCAGGATATGAAAAGCCCAAGCAGAAAGGCAGGTGAGAGTCAGGAAGTACCCAGATGCTAATAGGTAAGATGGGCAGACCAGTGGACAACAGACCAAGTCTGACCAGACCAGCCTTTCTGCCATAACTCTAATATTTATGGAAGATGCTTTCAGAAGATGGGCAATGGGTAGTACAGGACTGAGACCTTTTAGAGAGGGAAACAAATGAGGTCGACCCCATAATGACCCTGACTTTCTTTCTGGAGACACTTCCTGGATGCGGTGCAGGGAGATGGAGTCAGGTAGGCAGATCACAGCAGTCTTGCTGAGCTGAGGAGAGAGACCGGAGTGTAGGATTACTGATGCAGCTGGGATTTCCTAGGCAGGCAATAATGAGAAAGGAACTGTGTGGAGAAAGAGCTCATAAATCTGCAGAGAGGTCCCCTTTAACATTTTGGCTAAAATAGAAAGCTCCACAGGTAGAGACTACACAAAGTTGGACAAAGAGGACTCTGGGGAAAGAAAACAATCTTCTCAACTCATACATGTGACATATGGCTCATATCCAGAATAATTAAACATTCCTACCACTTAGTTATAAGAATACAACCTACTAAACATCGGCAAAAAAAGGGAATAGCATTCCACAAGGGAAGATACAGGAATGGCCAATAGACACATGAAAAGATGCTTAACATCCTTAGCCATCAAGGAAATAAGAATGAGACAAAGAGACAAATAAGAAAGAAACAAACTATGAGGCAATGAGACACCACCACCTGCCCACTGAAACTGGTTACTATTAAAAGGATAAACAACAGTAAGTGGTATCAAGGATACAGAGCAACAGGAACGCTCATACACTGCTGGTAAAAGTGTAAAATGGTACAACCACTTTGGAAATCAGTCTGGTGGTTTCTTATGAAATCAAACAAGCATTTGCTGTACAAACCTACAGTTCTACTCCTGGATATCCACTCAAGGGAAATAAGAACATAACTCCACAAAAGGATCTATAAGAATATTCATAGCTGCTTTATTCCTAATAGCTTCAAACTGGAAGCAACTTCAATTTCCATCAATAAGAAGACAAACAATTTGTGATATATTCATGCAATAGAATACCATTCAGCAATAAAAGGAACAAGCTACCGGTCCTTCCAGGCAGATTGCATGTTGTGTAGAAGCATTATACGAAGTGAAAGAAGTCAAGCACAAGAGTATATGCTGTCTGAGTCCATTTACATGGGGTTCTAGAAGAGGCACTACTAATTCACGGGGGAATGGAATCAGTAGTGTGATTAGGCAGTGACCCAAGGGAACTTTCTGGGGTGACGTAAACGCTCTATACCATGATAGGAGTGTGTGCTACACAGGTATCTTCTTCATTAAACCATACCCTTAAGATCTGTGCATTTCACTGTATGTAAAGTATACTTCAAGTAAAAAAAAGGAAGAGCAGGTATATTTCAAACAATAAGCTTTCTGACATGTCCTGCTGCTTGAACGTTCACTGACTGGTTCCCTCAGACTGTGGGCCTGGCCTGAGACTATGTCACTGACCTATAGTAGCTGCACAGTGGTGGGTTCCCATAATACTCACTATGTTTCACATTTTCTCAGACAGCAACAGGCCATGAATCTAAATTTTAAAGGGGATTCCAAGGCCCAGAATTCTGAGAATTTGGGGCAATGGTTCTGGGAGTCCCCAGAGTGAAAAAAATCATCCAAGGCTTCCTCGGGGCCTCTTATGGGCCTTGCGGTGTCTCTTACTCTTTTTTTTCTGACTCCCCGATAACCCCTCAGATCCCCCAGCCCACCCAGACATCCCCCATTACCTTTTGGGTCCCACTGTTCTTTAATGGCCATTCTCTCAGCCCTTGAGTGGCTGCAGCTAGCAGAGAGTGGGGTAGGAGGAGGAGACTGAGCCATGTTCATTTTCCCATAATGCATCTGACAGAAAACAAGATCCTGCCCGGTTTGCCAGGTTAGCTTTTGTAAGTCTTCAAAGCTCTGAACCCACTCAATCTACCTGATATTTACAGCAATATTACTTTCATGATATTTATCCATTGTAAATATAAAGCATTTTCACTACATTATGGGCAACGTATAAGCTATCTAATGGGCACGGGTGGGCCGTTTCTTTAGGACATTAAGACTGAACTAAGAGGGTTGACTGGGAATATCTTCTTATAAGCTGTCTTCCTTGGGGAAGTATGTTCTAATTTCAAATGATACATCCCTGTGTATTCATATATATATAGAGAGAGATATAGATATAATTGTATGTGCATAGAAAATAATCTAAGAATACACTTCAAAATCCTTATTAGTTATTCCTAGGGAATGTATTTGATACAGTGTGGAAAACCAAACCAGACCAAACCCACTGCCATCGAGTGGATTCCAACTCATAGAAACCCTGTAATAGAGTAGCACTGCCCCATGGGGTTTCCAGGGCTGTCCATCTTTACAGAAGCAGACTGCCCCATCCTGCTCCCACAGAGTGACTGCTGGGTGTGAACTGCTGATGCCATTCTGATTCTTTTACACACATGTCTTATCTCAGTTTTTACATGAAGCATGTATTACTTTTGACATTTTATAAAGATTATAACCTTTGAAATGAGAACCCTTTTTAAATTTCAAACATGTAGTATAAAACATTTCAAACAGAAACAAAGATTAATACAATGAACCCCATGTGCCCGTAACCTAGCTTCAAAAAACTACCCACTAATGGCTAATCTGGGAGCACGGATGGTGTAGCGCCTAAGGCATTTGACTGCTAACCAGAAGCCTGACAGTTCAAACCCACCAACCACTCCTTGGAAGGAAGATTGGGCAATCTACTTCTGTAGACATACCACCTCGGAAACCAAAGGCAGGGTCACTATGAGTTGGATCTGACTCAATAGCAATGTTTAGGTTTTTTGTTTGTTTGTTTTTGAACGGCTAATCTTCTTTATTATTTTTTAAAATCTCTTCACCCATGTCAAGCCTCTCTCTTAATTATCGATCAACTTTTCCTCTGTCCCTTCCCCTCCCCCCATCCCTGGTAACCAAAAAGAAGAGTTCTTTCCCTGTGTAAACCTTTCCTGGACTTTTTACAATGATGGACTCATACAATATTTGTCCTGGGACTGACTTATTTCACTCAGCATAATGTCCCCCAAGTTTATCCATGTTATGAAGTGATTCACTGATTTTTCATTATTCTTTAATGTAGCATAGTATTCCATTGTGTGAATGTACCATAGTTTGGTTATCCACTCATCTGTTGATGGGTACTTAGGTTGGTTCCATCTCTTTGCTATTGTAAACAATGCTGCAATGAACGTGGGGGTATATATATCTATGCATGTCTCAGGGCTCATCTCTTCAGGATATCTTTCTAGTAATGGGATTGCCAGATCAAATGGCATTTCTATTTCCACCTTTTTAAGGAAGTGCCATACCATTTTCCACAGTGGTTGTACCATTTTACAGTCCCACTAGCAGTGTATGAGGGTTCCAGTCTCTCCATACCCTCACCAGCATTTGTTGCTTTCTGTCCTGTTGAACCTTGCTATTATTGCTGGGGTGAGATGATATCTCAGAGTTCTTTTGATTTGCATCTCTCTCCAAAGAAGGGTTGCTATGAGTCAGGTCTGACTCCATGGCACACAACAAAAACAACAACAATGGCTAATGATTGAGAGCATTTCTTCATGTGTTTGCTGGCTGCCTAAATATTTTCTTTGGTGAAGTGTCTGTTCCCATTTTTGAATTGGGTTGTTTGTCATTTTGATGCAGAGGTGAAGTTTTCTGTAAATTTTAGAGACAAGTCCCTTGTTGGATATTGTTGTTGTTGTTAAGTGCCATCGAGTCACACCTGACTCCTAGCGACCCTTCCTTGGGTTTCGAAGGCAGTATCACTATGGAAGTAGATTGCCCCATCTTCCTTCTGAGGAGTGGCTGGTGGGTTTGAACCGCCAGCCTTCTGGTTAGCAGTCAAGTGATTTAGGCACTATGCTACCAGAACTCTTTATATGATGACATATTATTCAATAAAGTTATCAAAATAATAAGCACAGTATAATCACATTTTGGTAAACATATACTGTGTAAATATTGATTGACAGAGACCAAATACTGGCTCATGGGATTATTTATTTATTTATTTTTAATTGTGATTTGGGTGAAGATTTACAGAACAAATTCACTTTCCAAACAGCAGTTCACATATACTTTGTCTCA